AAAATATGGTGTAATTACTGGAAAGATTTAATGCCTAAACTCCAGCTGAAGAGGGAGGCATAACTTTTCCCATCTGAACCAATGAAATTGTTTATGATTTCCTTCTCACAAAAATTAGTTTAGCATAACCTCCAAGGTCTTTTGGGCACTCTTTTTCATTTTCAACATTTGCATTATATACATAGGGAAAGAAGATAAGATGCTTTTAACCAAAGTGAGTCTTCCACCTTGTGATAGATAACTTAGCAGGAAATTAGTTTACAGATTCTGGATACTACCTCATCAAATTGGGTCTACATTTTCCTCCCCTTGACTAATTACACACCAAGATAAAGAAGGGGGTAGGCAATAGATATGGATCCTGTATAATCCTTAATAAAATTCTTGGAAGTAGAAGTGAGTATCTCGTTGAAGATTAGTTGACATTTTTTATGATTTAGAAAGAAACCAGAGAGTTGTTGGAAATGATCCAACAATTTGTACTTCTTCTTTACTGCTGGTTTGGAAGCATTAGAAAACAAAATTACACCATCTGCATAGCATAAATGGCTTATACAGAAATTGGCTTTATTAGCAAATCTGAGGTGCTCATGGTCTAAAAAAAGTTGATTGAGAAGCCTAGAGAGATAATCCATAGCCAAGATAAAGATGTAAGGATAAATGGGCTTTCCCTGTTTGATGCCTCTGGAACTTGAAATAATCCTTGAGAATTACCATTCACCAGGATAGTATAGTAGTTATTCTGAAGCCACCTTTGGATCAGCTGACAGAAATGATTATTAAAGTCTCTAGCTTGAACAACTTCCAAAATGAACTTCCAACTTATAGTGTCACAAGCCTTGAATAAATCCAGCTTGTACATAAGGTTTCCTACTCTGCAAGGCCTGTCAATATCCAATAGAGGCTTTTGGGTGAGTAAAACATTATATGTCATTTATCTACCTAAAACAAAAGCAGATTGGTTAGAGGCAATCAGCAAAGGGAGATGGGGTTTTAATCTAAAAACCAACAGCTTGCTGATGAGCTTTGACAACTCTATTGTGGGAGAGATAGGCCTAAAATGATCCCAGCAAGACTTTTGATCACCCTTAGGAATCAAGGCAACAGTAGACATGGAAAAACAATTTGGCATATCAGCTCCACTGAAAAATATTTGAACAGCCTCCACAATCTCCTTCTTAACTATAGGCCAAGGTTTTTTATAAAATGTAGAGGTAAAACCATCAGCTTCTGCTGCCTTGTCACCATCTATGGAACATAGTGCTTGCCAAATTTCTTCTTTAGAAGGGATAAAGGTAAGATCCAAGTTTCTTTTTTCACTAAATTTGTCATTAAGAAGGGCTGGTTTGAAGTGTTGAAGGTTTGAAACATCAGACTAAGACAGTAGGATCTAAAAATGATTAATAACATTTAAAGGAATTTGATCAGGATCATGAATCCAGTAACCATTGTTTTCGTTGACCCTCAAAATTGTGTTAGAGTATCTCCTTTTTTTAATAAAAGCATGATATAATTTAGTATTTCTATCACCATCTATAAATATTTTCAAATATGTCTTCTATTTATAGAGATGTTCTTCCCAATGAATAGCTGTAAGAAAGTTGGCATTAGTAGCAACAAGGGGTTGTTCATCTTAATTTCCTAATTGAAGTTCCAATTTAACCTTCTTAACAGCCTGTTTAGCCTCCTCAAAATTAGTTGTTGAATTGCCAAAACAGTTTTAGTTCCAGGACTTTAAATGATTTGCCACAGACTTCTGAACTTGCCATAGTCTAATCTATGGGGAAGGAAGTAATTAGGAATCCAAATAGATTGGAGAAAGGGGAGAAAATTAGGGTGTTCTAACTAGATGTTGAAAAGTCTAAATTTTAGAATTAGGGAGGATTGAGTGGGGGAAACAAATATCAAAAGAGGCCTATGGTCTGAACAAGTATAAGAAAGGTGTGAAACAGTATTGTGAAGGTTAGTTTCAATCCAAGCATGGTTAACAAGAAATCTATTAATTTTTTCATGGAGTTTTCCTCTCTTTTAAGTATCAAGGGATCCTTGATGAGGTAGTTCAGAAAGCTCAGCAATTCTATTGTTATCAGAAAAAGTCAACATCTAATTTAAATCAACAGGTTTCCCTCCCCATTTTTCATTCAATCTAGCCACAATATTAATGTCCCCACCAATGAGCCAAGGCCCCTTTACTGAAAGCTTAATCTGATGAAGCTACTGCCAAAGAGCTAATTTATTACCTGATGAACTGCCTGCATATACAAAAGTAGCCATAGTTTGAAGGAAATCCCATAGCAAGGAAACATGTGAGAACTAGGGATGACTGTCCAAAAGCTATAAATTGACCTTCTTATAAAATAGCCAAATTTTATTGTTGAAATTATTTAGATATAGAAATTGAGGGTATTTCTTAAGGATTACGTTAGGAGTGTTGTGAACCAAGGATTCCAAAATAACAAAGCAAAACAACTTGTGTCTCTTAGATAAATTATTGAACCTAATCAGGGAATGTGGATCAGCAATTCCCTTGATATTCCAACACAATAACTTAATCATAAGAGGTTAAGGAGGATCCCCAAGTCTACCATGCCAAGGTATGTTTAGGAAGGGGTACAGTCACCATATTAAATAAAGGATGTATAAGGTTAGGGGAAACATTTTTCCTTCTCCTACTTCTAAGACATGGAGGTGGAAAAACATCTTCACTGATGGAAATTACATGATGTGGCACTCCAGGATAGGCCAACACCCCATACCCAATAGAAACAAAAAAGGTGTCTAAAACTGTAGCAGTATAGGTGTCAACAGGTAAAGGACAATGGATTGATGGTGTAAAAGGATGAATGAAAGGTAGGGTATGCATATAATATGTGGGAAAAAATTGTATAGAAGTACTATGAGGATAGTTAGAGTTAGGGACAAGGCTATGTTCAAGGGGTAAAAAGTAGGGTTGAAGTTGAGTGAATTGATGAAAAGGCTGCAGGTGAGGTGCAAAGGGGAAGGAGGACCTCTGAGGGTTAGCATAATGAGAGAAGCCATGAACTTGACTGATAAATACGTGGAGGATACTAAAACCCATAGTCTCAAGAATAGCAAAACACCAAAGGTTATAATTTTTATTAAGTTTTTTCAGTCTTTTTAAAGATTGAGGATGAGTAAATTCCCATATGTACCAATAGAAAAGGCCAATCATTAGGGGGATTAATGTGGAGTGAGGGCTGTGATCTCGTTTATCCTCTAGAAGAAGGAGGAGATGGGCCAGCTTTCATCTTGCCACTAGTAACCATTGTAGTAGCACCAATTTGTTATCTCTGCACTTCAGTAGACTGTTTCTTTTTCCTCTTAGATGTGTGTACTTGCCAGTCCTCCTCCAAAAGGTGATTCATTTCAGCAATTCTTCCTTCATCAGGAGCCTTCAAATCTTTAATATTAGGCAAAGAAGCATTCTTTATTTCCTCCATTCCCTCAATGGGAGAGCAGGTTAAAAGGGTAATGATAGTCACATTATTGAATTCTTCTCTTAAAACTCTAAAGGGATGCAGAAGATGGAGCATTGAAATCTTGAAGGAAGCAGTAGAACTTTGAGAAGTATCCAATAAACCACCTCCAACTTCCTCATGCTAGGGTGCCACAGCCAAAGGGGTAACAGTTGGTAAAGATGGTTTCTATGCAGTAACTTTCTCCCTAGTGGGAGGGGTTCTTTTAGAGGGAGGGTGCAGCCTATAACACTTATCCCTAGTATGAGCAAACATTTTACAATGTTGGCAGTGATATGTTCTTTGCTCAAGTATAACTTCCAGGCAAAACCCTTCCTTCTCAGATCCAATCCAGATTCTCTTCAATTCTGAAAGGGTGATGTCCCTTTCAATTAAGATTCTAGCCAAAGCAGGTCTGGCCTTGTTGTATGTTGGGGAATCAACCTTTAGAGGCCTGCCAAGACCACAACCAATATTAAACAAAGCATTCAATTTGAAAAATGGAATAGGGAGACCAGGAAATTTGAACATGAGGGGAACCACAGGTGGCTCTTTATTGGGGTCAAAGTTAGGTGTCCATTTCAGAATCTTTATGGTGGTTCCTGCAATTAGTAAATATTTCTTGGCAAATATTCTTTCATAGTCCTCTTCAATTGATTATTCTATGAGTAAATGTCTACCATCCAGCATACCTAGCTTCTATGCCCTAATGAATTTTAGAGAGTCAAAATAATTCCTTACAAGTTCCATTTTAGGATGTCCCAATTGAAATTTTCCCACAAGTGTAAGTTTAACTTCTTCATTTAAAGAGTTAATTTCTTATTGTGAGAAGAAGATGGTTGTTTCTCCTTCTTTACTACTTAAAGAATGGATACATGGGAAATCCCCTTTACCAACAACAACATCATGAAATGCTTTGGGGAAAACTAACATATTCATGTCTTGGAGTGTATCAGTAGATTGGCCAACTACCCCTGCATAGGTGGCCTTAGTCCATAACGCATTAGTTTCAATGTCTATTGGTGTAACCATGGAAGGAGCAACACAAGAACTGTAACCAAAAAACTTATTGCACCTATACAAAAATTGGGAACAGCAACCACAACAACCAACACTGGACATAAACCCACTTGGAAGCAAGAGGTAAGCACAACCACAAAAAACCACAACCAATGGAATAGTGCTTCCAAATTTAAAAAACTAGAAATCAAGAAACACAAAAAATTCTACAAATAAGGATCCCAACAAAAAAGAAGCTCTGAAAAGACTCCTCTAGAGTAGGAAAACTTTTCTCCACCTCCAACTCACCAGCAAGTAGTGAAGAACCTCCATGAGGGAAACCCTAGTAGAGCTCAAACAACGCCGCCACCACCATCGTGTTATATATATATATATAATGGCGACGAGATCTAGGGTTTGTGGCTCTGGCATCTTGGGCAATTTCGTGCTCCCCTCTCTTCACCATGGCTGGTGAGATCCTTCCATCGCTTGATCTCAACTTTTGTGCTCTTTTTTTTTTTGGTAATGCCGCCCTCTAGTTTTTTTATCAATGCAGTTTTAGAGGAAGGCAGGGTGACTTTTGGTTCTCCCGACTCCTTTCTGTTCCCAAATGGTTTTTATGATTCTCTTAATGTTGGGGGTGATTATACTTTTATGAAAAAGCTTAGGAAAAATAATGGCAAACTGGCAATGTTTATTTCAGAGGTTGAGTCAAATGTTTTGGCTTCCTCTTGTCATTTTTCTTTGGTTGGGAAGTTTTCTTATGAGCATCAAAAGCTTGATCTTATCCCAAAAGAGTTTGATTTACTTAAACTGAAAAGCTAGCCAAAAATTGGGTTCTAGATGGTAAAAATATTCTTATACAACTAGGAAATGATGAAGATTATACCTTGCTCTTTACAAAAAGCTATCTGAGAATAGGTAATCGATTTATTAAATTTCGGAAATGGTTTGTCAATTTTGACCCGAAATTAGAACTATATATTTTACTGGTTTGAATTTATTTTCCTGGACTAAAGCTACATCTATTTAATCATGAGGTATTATTCTCTCTTGCTACTGCCCACTAATACACTTAAAATATATAGTGTTTCTAGACACATTTTTATACTTATTTTTGAGATATTGCACTTTAATGGAAGGTATTTTTATGTTTTTCTTGCAGATACATGTAAAAAAAGTGAAAAATGCCTAAAGTAGTGAAAAAAGGATCAAATTTTGAGCAAAAATGTAAAAAATGTGTAAAAGAGTTATGGCGCCTACACACTAGATCTGACTCTTAAGCGCAGTGAATCAGAGAAGGGCGCGCCTAAGGCCCAGAGGCCCCCGCGCTGAAGTGCCAGTGGCAGTTATTGGGTGAGTAAATTTAGTTTCTGCAAATTTTGAAAAGGCTTTTGAGGCATCCATTGGCTTAATAGGTGGTTATAACCACCATGGGAGAAAATTATCACGATGGTAGAAAATTATCACGAAAGGATGCATCTCTTGGGGAAATACTTTGAATCTAGACATATTCTGAAGAGAAACAAAGGTACCTTTTAGAAAATTATAAAAGAAAGGAGAGAGGACTTAGAAAAGAGTCCTGAAAAGGTCCAAAAAAGTGTGGGTCCTGAATGTATTGGAATGTTTTGAAATTTCTCATTTGGGGAGTTAGTTCATAGAGATTTTCAGGCATTACTTTTTCTTTTATTTTATCCTTTTGTTATTTTATTTTGAGTGATTGTAAAGAGAAGAGAATCAAAGGAACTTCAAGAGTTTGGTGGAGGACTTGAGATAAGTTTTTATCTTTCTGTTTTGAGACTACTTTTGGTTTTAATTGAGACTTGTTGTTGGTTTGTCAATGATTTCTTCTTTTAAACTAAAGTGTGGTTTTGTTTTCTTCATGGATTCTGAGTAATTTTCTTTATGTTTCTTCTTAAAATGATAAGTAATTAAGTTTTGGAAGGAAGTTGTGGAAAGTATTGATAATGATGGATGGAAGAAGTTGTGATGATTTAAATCCATGCACTTCTTTTACTTCTTGATTTGGCCAATCCAATTATTAAAATTTCTTGTGAGAACATGTACGAACCAGGCTGGTATTGTCTCAGGCAACAATTGGAAAAAATTAGATGAGGTTGTATGAATGAGAATGTAGTTCATATGATTGAGTCCAAATAAATAGAGAAATATTCATTGAAGGGTATAGAGTTAGAGGACTTTAAAGTGACAGGTTCAAGAGTTCAACTTGGTTTATTATTTTAGGTTCTGATACAAGAATGTTAGCCCCCACGTGGAGGGAATTGAGAGAAGTCTAGAGTGAGAGCTAGTATCTTCCCTGCCTAGCCGGTCTTCAAAACTATTCAAACTTTAAATTAGCCAATGTTCTTTATAGCACTCTAGTAGGGTAAAGAATATTATTGCTCCAATTTAGCACAACACAATTTGCATACTTCCACAACATAATTCCTATACTTATTACTGATTCATAAGAAGAAGAAAAATATTTTCATATTTAGTGCTTTTCTTATATAAAAACTCTAGTTATATTTTTAAATTGTTATTGTTCTATCAAAATATTGAAAATACGAAAAATATTTAAATTTTCATTATAGCAAATATCATCTTTAGTTCAAATAATTATCTTTCTATTAAAAATAGTAAGTTCGCTATTCAATAGCGCATATTACATATTCTTCCTGTGGGTTCGATATTCAGGTCTTAATCAAAAAGTATTATATTACTAGATAACGATACGTACTTGCGTATTATCCTAATATATATTTATTAAAAGTTAAATTCTTTTTTTTCTTCAGAATCAAGTTTTTGGTTTTGTTGCAAACTAAGGAAATTTAAGTGAAATATAATCTGAATTTTTGTACTACTTTGCATATTAATAGTATCGATGGATCGAGTTTTTGGCGTCGTTGCTGGAGAGAAATTTATTTTAAAAGAAAATTTCTATTTTTAGAAAGTCTTATTTAAACTTTAAGTTATCTTATTTTGTTTTGTTTATTTTATTTTATGTTTATTTTATTTTATTTTTTATTTTATTTTATTATAGTTAGTGTATGCGTAATTCAGGTCTGAACGACTAGTGATATACTATTTTGAATTAGAAAGAACTGTTAGAAGAATCAGAAAAACCAAAAGAATTATAAATCTTGAAAAAATCCAAAAACATCATAGAAATGATAGACCAAAATAATCAAAATACTGAAATTCATCAAAATTTTAGACCTTTAAGAGATTATGCCAACCTTACTGTAGATGTACTTCATTGTAGTATACTTCATTGTAGTATTCAAAAACTATTCAAAAACCTACTGTAGTGGCTAATTCATTTAAGCATAAACATGTTATTATCCAATTGGTATCAAATAATCTGTTTGGGGAGCACCAACTGAAGATCCAAATTTAAATCTTGCCAATTTTCTAGAATTATGCACTACATTTAAACACTACATTTTATCAGATGATGCCATAAAACTTAGGTTATTTCCTTTCTCACTGAAGGATAAAGCTAAGATGTGGTTGAATTCGTTAGCACATAAAGATAAAGCTAAGATGTGGTTGAATTCGTTAGCACCTGGATCTAACAGAACCTGTGGTGATTTAGCACAAAAAATTTCTTGCTAAATATTTTCCACCATAAAAAATTGGAAAGTTTAGAAATGATAGTATGTCATTTAATCAATTTGAAGGGGAATCTATATATGAACCATGGTAGAGATTTAAAAAACTCTTGAGAAAGTGTCCACACCATGCTATACCAGATTGGTTAATAATTCAAACTTTTTATAGTAGATTAGTTGGATCTCTTAAATAAATTAACGATGCCGCTGTTGGTGGTTCATTGATGTCAAAACCATTTCATGACGCTTACGCTTTAATTGAATAAATGGTCACCAATAATTTTCAATGGCCTTCTGAGAAGGTAAATCCTAAGAAAGTAGCCAATATTCACGAAACTGATGCATTTACCATGTTAGCAAATCAAGTTGCTACAATTTCAAGGAAGTTAGACATATTTAGAATGAATTTTTCTCAACCAATTTCCATGATTGAAGAGAATTCATTAGACAAAATGGCAGATTCTCAAGCATCATTAGAAACTTTGAATGCCATAAATAATAAGCAGGATAACCCATATTCAAGTTCTTATAACCCGGGTTGAAAGAACCATCCCAACTTTAACTGGAATAACAATTCAGATGGTAATAATCAGCAATGAGGGAACAACCAAGGAAGCTCATTGGGAAACTAGAACAACCAAGGGAATAACAATTATAGATATACTTATCCTCCAGGTTTCAATAGTAATACAAATGGGAAATCAATTAAAAAGTCAAGGAGCTACAATTAGAAATATTGAGAATCAACATGGGCAAATAGAAAGTTCATTAAGTAATAGATACCAAGGAACACTCGCTAGTAATACTAAACCAAATCCAAAAGACCAGAATAAAAAATAAGGAAAAGCCGTTCAACTTAGAAGTAGAAGAGAGTTGGAATGTCAGGTTCAAAAAGAAATTAAAGTAGAGAAAGAAGAAATTGAAGAATCAAAAGAGGACGCTCCAAAAGATTCCGAGAGACCTATTTCTCCACTAAAAATTGATTTGGAAAAACCACCACCTCCATTTCTACCTCCATTTCTTCATAGACTTCGTAAGCAGAAATTGGATAAATAATTTTCAAAATTTCTGAAAATATTTAAGAAGCTTACAATTAATATTCCATTTGCTGAAGCCTTTGAACAAATGTCTAGCTATGTAAAGTTTAGGAAGGATATTCTCAACAGGAAAAGGAAGTTTGAAGATAATGAGACTGTTGCACGTAGTGAGGAGTGCAGTGCGATAATTTAGAAGAAGCCTTCTGAAAAGATTAAAGATCCTGGTAGCTTTACAATTCCATGTGCAATAGGAGACAGATTTTATGGGAAAGCTTTATGTGATTTAGGTGCAAGCATTAACCTTATGCCATTATCAATATTTAAAAGATTGAGATTAAGAGAAATAAACCCTACTACTATAACTCTGTAGTTAGCAGATCGTTCGATAACATACCCTAAAGGAGATATAGAAGATGTCCTAGTGAAAGTTGATCAATTTATCTTTCCTGTTGATTTCATTGTGCTAGATATAGAGGAATATAAAGAGATACCTATCATTTTGGGGAGACCCTCCCTAGCCACAGGAAGAGCAATAATAGATGTGTAGAAACGGGAATTAACAATGCACGTCAATGATCAAACTATTACTTTTAATATTTCAAAAATAATGAAATACCCTACAAATGGTAAAGATAATGAATGTTATAAGATAGATGTTATAAGATATCTACGTGAATTCCATTTTAAAACTGATTATGAAGAAAAATCTAAAGAAAAATATTTGGAACACGAGCTAGAAGATGAATTAAATCAATGAAAATTATTTTTACGGAAAATTCAAACTATGTTCAAGAAAGTTTTGAAGTTTTGGATGTGATAGACAAAGATAAATCATTTTGTTCATCTATTGAAAAACCTTCAAAACTAGAGTTGAAGTTACTTCCTGATCATTTAAAATATGTATTTCTAGGAGATTCCTCTACTTTACTAGTTAAAATTTCCTCAAAATTAACAACGGAGGAAGAAAAAAGGTTGATGAAAGTTCTGAAAAATTTTAAGAAAGCCTTTGGATGGACAATTGCTGATATTAAAGGAATCAATCCTTTAATTTATATGCACATAATTCATATGGAAGAGAACTACAAACCTAGGGCTGATCCGCAAAGGACATTGAATGATGTTATGAAAGAAGTTGTAATGAAAGAA